CCACCAAGCCATGTCCACCCAGTCACATGACCACCAAGCCACGCCCACTACCTAAGCCACGCCCACAGGACCGGTTGTTAAAAATTGTGAATCCCACCCCTGGTGGGAGTGGTTTCTTCTTGGTAGTTCCTTATTTATGCTGGTGACCTTCTACGGCTGCACCATAGAGAGTATGTTAATTTACTGCACCTCTGTATGGTTTGCCAATTGCACAGTGGCAGATAGGAAAGCACTCCAGAGGGTTAACGTCATTGCCCAGAAGAACATTGATTGCCCTCTCCCCTCTTTGGAAGAGCTTTATAGCTCCCACCGCCTTAAGAAAGTTCAAAACATCTTCAAAGATCCATCTCATCCTGGGAATCCTTTTTTTTTGAACTATTTATCATCTGGCAGACGGTACAGAATAATAAAAACAAGGACAAATAGGCTGAAAAACAGCTTCTATCCCAGGGCAGTAACTCTATTGAATTCTACTATATAGTGCAGTGTTGGTGCGGTGTCGGGGGGTTTTCAGTTCAATGTGTGGAGTGTGAAGGATGTGTGTTTGTGTTTATTTTCATGGTCATGATGTGCACTGAAGATGGTGTTTGATTTCGTTGTACGAGGTGCAATGATAAACTAAACTAGTTGTTGTATATACTGTTTGACTGTCTGCAAGAAAACAACCAAGCTCAGAGAGCACCAAGGGCCCCACATTTCAACTTTGTGCTACAAGTATTCTTTTCTATTGGGATGTACTGTCTGTTACAGAGAACTCTATTTAATATTTTATTCACTCTCACTTTTTAAGTGTAAGCCACTCACAGGCATCTGGAGTAAGGTGGCATCTAAATTTCATTAAATAATAAAAAAGTGATGCTTGGGGGGAAAAGTTCACACACGCACACCCCCCCTCAGAAGATAACATCAGGTGCTGGGTTCACCATATTTTTATTTATTAAACTACACTATACTGCGGCCTGCAGCCTTGGTCACCAAACAGAGAAACAGGAAGGAGGGGAAAAGAATACAAACACAATACCTGCTTGACTCCCATCAGCTCTGCATAATCGAAGATGAGAATGATGCTAAAGATGATTAGCCAGGAGATGAAATGAAGGATAAAGCAGATGAGTGGAACCCAAGTGATCCATGGCTCGGTGTTTGTATTCCACAGCATAGGACCATCCTGTACTGGCTGCCAATACCTCATCAGCAACTATGTTAAAAGGAAAAAAAAATTACATTAATAGCAAGCACTGCAAAGATATTTAACATGACCGCAGGGTTCTCAAAACTCAAGGCCCGTGGGCTAGATCTGGCCCTTGGGGTGCTTAGATCTGGCCCGCGAGGCCGCCCTGGAAACAGCGAAGGACTAGCCTGCAGTGCCTCTGCCAGTGAAAACGGGCTCCCAATCTCCGTTTTCGGCTGGGACGGCCTCCTGCAACCCTCTGCCAGTGAAAACAGCTCGGGGGCGCCCTCCTGGCAGAGGGTTGTGGGAAGCCATCCTAGCCGAAAATGGAGATTGGGAGCCCGTTTTTGCTGGCAGAGCATTCGGACCGCCACGAGTGACATCAAGCTGGCCACGTCCACCCCAGCCCTCTGAGGTCAAACAGAACCCTTGTTATGTATATGTAAATTACATAGTTGGGTTGACAATATATAAACTACAAATATATATGTTTGTAGCTTTAAGGCAAAATATTGTAATGTATTATACTATGTTCTGTTGATTAATTATGCTACAAGTTGCCATAAGAGGGAGCTATAGTTTAATTCTCTTTCTCTTTTTCACTGATGATCTCTCTTAATACTGTACTTATACTGACTGACTACGGACCGATACTGACTAACTCTGTTTATTTTGGTATTCTGTTGATATCGAAGGTTATCTGCTGTATTGTGGTTTGATATTTGTCTGCTGTAAAAGACATGAAACCAGTAAGAAGGCTTTATAACTGGATATTTCTGGACTGTTAAAAACGTGCATGACATGGACTGTTTATTGGACTGTGCCATTTCTTCAAATAAACATTAATACCACTTGTTCAACTCTGTGTGGCTGTATATTTATTCATAACTATTCTCATAAACCGTTTCCATGTGCATACAAGGGTTACTCTGCACATATCCTAACAACCCTGATGCAGCCCTCAATGAAATCCCCGTTCTAGTCCAACTTTCTGCTCAGACGAGAGACCCTATACCAGCGATGGCTAACCTTTTCGTCGTCGCATGTCAAAAGTGTGCATGTGTGCATGCGCACACATGCCTGCACCCATAATGCAATGCACACTGACCCTCATGCCCCCCCTGCATATGCGTGCATGACCCCCCGCGTCCCACTCCTCTGTGCATGCGCATGCGTCTCCCACGCACACCCCGCCTCTCGTGCATGCGTGGCAGATACCCGGCAGGAGGCGTGTGCGCATGCGCAGTGGATCTGATCCAGGGCGACAGCTTGTGTGCTGGCAGAGATGGCTCTGCATGCCACCTGTGGCACGCTTGCCATAGGTTCGCCATCACGGCCCTATAACCATTTCAGACAAAGGGTCACCCAATCTCTTCTTAAAAACCTCCAGTGTTGGAGCACTCACAACCTCTGGAGGCGAGTTGCATTTTACAAAATGATGCAAGTTTAAACGCAAGTTAAAATGATAATCTTTTTTATTATCTTTTTTTTTTGAAATGCCCATTTCTCTTAGCTGAGAAAGAAACTCAATTTGTTTTTTGCAACATGATGAAGAATGAAAGGCTCAAGCTTTTACAGGTAGTCCTCAACTTATGAGCCCGGAATTTTGGTGATAAGTCATTGCGGTCGTGAGTCGAGTCACCGTGTGACTGCACTCAACTTTTACCACTGTGGTCAAGCAAGTCACCATGGTTGTTAAGCAAACCACATGATCATGACTGTGAATCCAGCTTATTATATAGAGCCTTGGTGGCAAAAGTGGTTAGAGTGCAGTCCTGCAAGCTACTCCTACTGCAATTTGGCAGATTGAATACCACCAGGCTCAAGGTTGACTCAGCCTTCCACCCTTCCGAGGTGGGTAAAATGAGGACCCAAATTGTTGGGGGCCATAGGCTGACTCTGTAAATCACTGAGAAAGGGCTGTAAAGCACTGTAAAACGGTAAATAAGTCTAAGCGCTATTGCTACTATCCAATGGATGCTTCTGCTGGAAAATGACCAAAAAAAAAACCCACACCACAGAAAGCAATCAAGCGACCATGGGATGCTGCAACCAGTTATAAATGCAAGCTGGTTGCCGAGCATCTAAAATGTGATTGCAAGGCTGTGAGGGTGGTGCAACAATTGTAACTTCAAAAGGAAGTTGGTAACCTTCCTTGAAGTTTCAATTAAAGTTGGAGTCCATTGTAACTTCAATTGGTGCGCCATCCGTAAGTCGAGCTGTGCCTGTACAGCCTCTCACTTTATTACTCTAAATCAGGGGTCTCTCAAACCTGACAAGTTTAAGACTTGTGGACTTTCACTCCCAGAATTCCTGAGCTAACATGACTGGAGGAAGAATTCTGGGAGTGAAAGTCCACAAGTCTTAAACTTGTCAGGTTTGAGAGACCCTTGGTCTAAATCAATCCGCCTACCTGAAGGGATAAGTCTGTGCAAAAAACATAGACCGTTCTCTGCAAGACCCCAAAGCAGTTGCAGGTCCAGTGTTTGACCCGATCAGAAGCCATCAGGCTGTGCTGCAGGACAAAAAGGACGATCAGGCCCACATCCACTGTTAGCGAGTGCAAAATCTTGGGATCTCTTAGGGCCATTTTCCACTGAGGATTCGAGGTGTCACCTGCAAGAGAAAAATGAGGAATCTTACACCCTGTAGACAGCAGGACATAAAACAAGAATTACCAAGGAAGTTTATAAATGTCTACATCAGGGGTGTCAAACTCGCGTTCGTTGAGGGCCGCACCAGGGTTGTGCTTGACCTTGGGGGGGTGGGGGGCGTGTGTGCATGGCCAGGGTAGACATGGCCAGCTCGAAGTCACTCATCTCAGGGGTGGCTGTGTGTTCATAGTATTGCAGCGTAAATTCAGCGCCAGAAAAGTAAACACAGATAACTGAGGCTTCATAACTTCTTTATAAACATATGAAGTAAATTTTACAAACCAGTTGTAGATTTCTCCAACATGGAGCAAACTCATACAGAAGCAGACATGTTACAGGTTCAAAGCAGAGCAGCAACTCAACTTCAGCAGGCAAGCAAGCAAGCAAGTTTCTCTTTATTTTAGAGCTGAGCACAGAACAGAGATAAACCACGCCCAGATTCTCTCTTTAAGTTTCAGCCCTCAATTCAGCTCTCATTGGCTGATTTAGTTGCTATGCTTATTCATTGGCTCTGTTAACTATGTCTCTGCTAGTTAATGAATACTCTGACACTGTGGTGGCCCCAAACACTCTGCCAGCAAAAACAGGCTCCCGAGCTCCGTTTTCGGCTGCAATGGCTTCCTGCAACCCTCTACTAGTGGAAATGGAGTTGGGAGAGCCGCATGCAGCCCTTCAAAGCTCTGTTTTCGCTGGCAGAGGCACTGAGGGCTGGTCCTTCGCTGTTTCCAGGGCCAGATCTAAGTACTCCATGGTCCAGATCCAGCCCTCCCCTGGGCCTTGAGTTTGACACCTCTGGTTTACATCAACTTTTCTCAACCTTTTTAACTGAGAGCAGAGTTTTGTCGACTGCAACTTTAAGATGGGTGGACTTCAACTCCCAGAATTCCCCAGCCAGCTGGGAGGCTGAAGTTCACCCGGCTTAAAATGGCTGAGATTGATGAACCCTGCCCTAGAACAGGGGTCCCCAAGACCCAATCCATGGCCCAGTGTTGGGCCGCAGCCCATTCGGAAGCGGGCTGCGGAAGTGGTGGGTGACTGCAGGTGTGAAGGTGCATTTGTAAAAACGGCACGGGTGCAAAATCATCCCTTCTCTCCTTCCACCACCCACCGAGCCAGAAAAATTGGAGACCACTGCCCTAGAGGAACCCTTGAAATACTTGTGAGGTCTGAAGAAACCCCTGCATAGAAAAATATTACATCCACAGCTAGCAAAGAGATGTGCTTTGGGACTACAAAATGAAATCTTGAAGTCTCAGGCAGTCCACAGTCTGTCCAACCCAGTCTGGAGAAGTGCTGGGAATGCAGAGAAAGGACACTGGCTGTCATGCCCCTGGTGGAGACTGACTCTGAGGGAGAGGAGGAACAGCCGACAGGGAGTGGAAGTGTGGCTCCGGAGGTTGGGGAAGGGCAAAGGCCAGCTGGACAGTCAGAGGAGGACCCAGGCCCATCCCCTATCCATCCTAAGGCACGCAGGGAGGAGAGGATATGGGACAGACGTGGTCTACTTGGGAGGAGAGGGCCTTGATCCTCTTCATGGGCTGCAAGTGTGAGAATTGCATAAGACTTTGGACCTGCATTCTAGCAAACGCTGGAGTCAAAGCGTGTTTTATTTTGGTTTGAGGTTATCTTGGTTGGTGTCCTTCCAACAGACTGTGCCTTGTTATCGCCTTGAATTTGGTAAATACTTCTCCTGTTCCATTGTGGAAATTTCATCATTGTAGTAGTTTGTTTGGTTTTTATTTTCACCTCTATCTGCTCATTAAATTCGGACTGTATTGCTTTCTTTTGAAGACTATTTTGAGTACGTTTTATCTCCAACTGAGAATTATTGAACAGTGGGGCCAAGTTGGAGGCATTAGAGGACATTTATTTACGTTTTGGATTTTGTTACATTTGTGTTACACTCTGGGTCATCACACTGGCCTTTAGAAATCTGACCCCCCCCCCTTATATTTTCCAAGTTGCACTTCAAAATCTGGCGGACACAGCTCCCTCAGCATCCCGAATATTCATCTCGACTGCAGAAAGCATAAAAGGACTGTAACGTTTGCAATCCAAGGAGAGTAAAACAAGGGAAAATTTTTCACTTTGATGAGCATCAAAATTATGTGCAATCCTTAGAGATAGGAATAGCTTTCTGGGACTGAGTGTGGACTGAAGCCATCACCTCAAAACCAGCCTTAATCCTTGATCAAATGCCCAGATCTTTAAGCGATAGAAGCGGAATTCTGTCAAAGACGACTTCTAATATTATTACTGAAAAGTTTTGAGCTAACAGTTATTCAGCAGGAACAGGGGTGGGATTCTTCCAGTTCGCACCTATTTGCTAGAACCGGTTGTTAACATTCTAAGCAGTTCGGAGAAACGGTTGTTAGAAGAAATTACTGGCCTAATCCTGTAAGGAAGGCAAGAAGGAAACATTCTGGAGTTGCTTACAGAAACTGCCTCTCCATTAACCCCTATTACATTCTTGGCAGGACTAAAGACTTCCTGTCTCTGGAACGTCTCTGGAGGTTATTTTTTCCTCCTTTGCTGGTACTTTGCTTGTGTGGAGTGACCATTCAAAGTTACAATGGCACTGAAAAAAGTGACTTATGACCGTTTTTCACACTTACGACTGTATCCCCACAGTCATGAGAGGCCAGGCGAGGAGATGCATGCCTCAATGTGAGTGATGTTCAGTTGGCCAAGTCACATGACCACCAAGCCATGCCCACCAACTAAGCCACACCCACAG